CGGGGGACCCAGCCTCTTCCCGCCGGCGCGTCCGTCGCCGTGGAGCGGCGTCCCTGTGTGCTGGGCCCCGGCGATGGGATGTGGGGCTGCCCCGCCGTCCTGCCCTTTCCTCTGGGCATCCACATCTTAGGGGGTTAGTAAGCGTTATTTTTTCTGTCTATGTACAAATTGAAATTAGTCGAGAACAAGTATACATAGACTTACTAGATCTTTTTAACAAACCACCTGTAAAACTGGGTGTTTTCATGTTATCTAGCATCCTTGTTTAAAAAAATTAAAGGCTTTGTGTTTCTGCTCTCCCTTTGTTGATAACAATAAAACTCGAAGTATATTTGTTGCCATGTTGAGTTCCTGTGTGACTGAAATTGCAGTCTTTCTCTAAGAAGGACCTCTGAGTGAAGTCTCTGTGAAGCTGGCTGTTTCTAAGAAGCTTGTAAGAACTTTCTTAAGTTCCTGTAACTTAAAAAACAGTATTTTTATCCTTTTTGCTGTATGTGTCTTTTATTTTTATTTTCTGTTCCACAGTATTTCTGGGCCAAGTGGAAAAAGCCTGTGAGGAGGGTTGGTGATAGAAAGGCTGGATGATCCCCACCATTTTAAGCTGTACAAGAAGATGCTGAAGTGTTGAACGCATTGGTTAGTTCTTTGCTTATATTAACAAAAAGTATTTTGACTTTTTAGTCCCAGCTTAAACAAATGAATGAACGAGGAAGAATCTCCTCTCTGATGCATAGGGATGTTGTTTTTCACCCTGAGAATATGCTGGAACCAAGTCTGTACCAGAAGCAGCTTTTGAAGGACGCGCATATACTGAAAAATTGGCTGAATGGAAGGTTAAGGTAACTGTGATATCATATCCACCAAACGTGAGCATAGCTTGTCACTAATAGAGAGTAAATGCTGGAAGAACTCTCACCTTCTTTCCCACTCTCCTTACTACCTCCTTGCTATCCCCGAAGCACCTGTTACGACTCACAGGAAACTGCAGTAGGAAAACCTGCTACAGTTTCTCCGTGTCTTCTGGAAAGACCTGCGTCTTCCTCTGAAAGCCGAGAATCTCTCGGATCATGAGCAAAAGTAACCACTTAAGCAGACTTCTTAAATCCACTAATGCTTTCATAAAGTAGCTGTAAAACTGAGCATTTTCTATTTTCTTTTATATTCATTACAGGAAGTAAAATACATGTTTCTTTTTGCTTTCAGGTACTGATGTTGTACTAGTGTTGCTCCTCTACTTCGAGCCAGCATGTCGAAGAAATCGGAGACTCCGCTTTCCTTGTCTGACTGCCTCTGCCAAATTTGCATGGAGATCTTTGTGGAGCCCGTCACGCTGCCATGCAACCATACCCTCTGTAATTCTTGTTTCCAGCTGACCGTTGAAAAGGCCAGTCTTTGTTGCCCTTTTTGTCGGCGTCGAGTCTCTTCTTGGGCACGCTATAATGCCCGCAGAAATACTCTTATCAACTGGGAACTCTGGGAGAAGATTCAGAAGAATTACCCGAAGGAGTGTGAGCATAGGATTAATGGACAGGATTTGGAAGAGGAAAGTAAGTGAAATGTCACTCATCCTGGGATGTCTCTGCTTTACCAAAGTAATTACTGTTGGTGGACTTTGGATGTTGTGAAATAAGAAACTGTGCATAGTCAGGCTGTGTTACTGCTAGAAAATGCAGTGTCAGAGCTCTCCTGTGAAAGGGGCTTGGAAGGCAGAGAAATGGCCGTCCGTGACTGTTCTGTTTGTAGTACAGAGGGTAGGTTATATTGTCTGATCGTTTAAGTGGATATTTGTTCATGCATTTTGCACAAAGCATTGGTGTATGGCTGCCTGTCCTTGCAAAGGCAGTAATTCATTACTGGTACTACTCTAGCTGTAAAATCTGTAAGTGGAGAGTGTGTGTGTTTGTTTATCACTAGCAAGTAAGTGAAGCGGTTAAAAGTTTTTCAACTCTTAGATGCTGTTAATTTGTTTGGTTAGAAATGCCAGGGCTTCAGTCTATGCAGGAGTCTCTGAGCCTAAAATTGTGGTGTCAAAGAAAAGGAAGTGAAATCTGATTAACTCTGAAGAAGGATTTTGGGGTTTATTATGTTGTAAGCTCTGTTGGGGGAGGCTAATTGGTAGGTTGGCTCTATGACATGTTGTTACACTTGCAGTGTTATGAAGTCTTTTTAATCACAAAAAGTGAAAGACATAAGTTATGGTCAGCATACATACTTGCTCTGCCTACAGTGCTTGGAAAACACTGACTGTTCCTGCCACTCTGTTACACAGTGCTTTTTTATTTTGTTCCTTTGTAACACAAAGTGCTTTTTTTTCACAGCACTTGATTTAAGTCAAATCATTCCTGTGACAGGGTGTGGAAGTGATCTTTTGTTAAAATCTTTCATTGTTGACTGTCATGGTCTTGCTTTTTTCCTCACTTCTTTTTTTCTTTCCTCTCATTTAGTATGTGTCCCCCATCCGCAACACCAGCTGAGCAAGCCTGGGGAACTGAGGCAGGAATATGAAGCAGAGATTAGCAAGGTAAGTCTAAAAATATATTTAAAAGCATAAATGCTTTAGTTATCTAGTTATTTTGTTTGTTCTCACAAACAGTTGTAATGTTATTTAACAAAAAAAAAGATACTTAAAAAGGCATTGCTGCTGCAAGAACACACTGGTCATTCCTGAAGCATGAATTAAATTTTTATCCTTTATGGAAGAGGAGAGACTTCCTTGCGTTTGACAGAAGGTGACATGTCTCAAGTTTTCTTGTGCTAGTTGATCTATACCTCCTACCTCACCCTATCAATCGGTCCAGTAACATATGCCGTCTTGTTGTCCCTGCAAGTAGGTGTGCTTTGCAGGCTAGGAAACACATAGAGGTACAGACACAGCAGAATGCCCAGGCAGGTCTCTATTAGTCAATACCTTGCATTTCCCAAAACTCTGCAGAAGAGTTCTTTCAGGGTTAGGGTGTCACCTTTCACTGTCTGCATCCCTGCCTGCACATACTAAAATGCCTTTTTTAGGTCCTCAGATGCACGTGAAGTATTTCAGGCTAGCAAATGTAAAAATTTGCAAGTTTTGGCTTTGGTCTTGTACTTGCCTTCCTGATTTCCTTCCCTAAGTAATATACCACAATGAGATGAACTTGGGTAATGAACATACAGCATTTTCTTTCCTATTTGCTCACTCCCCGTGTTATCTGCGTTCATTTGGTTTGAGAAAAGATAAGAAGTCTTAATGTTTGTCTAAGCATCTAAAGGATCCTTCTTCCTCCAATTCAGACACATCAGTAGTAGGAATTATAGTTGGAAGTAGTATCGGAGTGCTCCTTTCCCTGACAGCCCCATTGCTGGTTGTTACAGGAGCAGGGGGAGTACATGAAACAGAGGACTGTGGGATTCTCTTTTATGGTAGTTACGGGATAAGATTGATTGGCAGCAATAGTATTGATGGTTAATGGAGATGGTGCCAGTGAAATATGTAATGGTGTCTAGTGCCAATCATAAGTCATCAATACATGATTTGAAACAAACTCAGACTTAACATAGCTTGTGCAGTATTACAGCTTGACACTTTTCTGTAAAGCAGATTTCCAAATTCCGTTACCCAGTTAAGAAAGCTTTATTCATTCTTGAAGTACTTTGCTGTTCTTGTGGAGTTACTGATAACTGATTTACCAAGAGTGGATGTCTGCTGTAAAGAAGGCAGATTTAAAATTCTTGGTCTGCTGCTTTGGGTTTTGTGTGTTTCAAGAGAGCAGAAGGACTCAGGAGAGAGATGTGCTGTCTTTTAGGCATCTTGTGCTAATATTGACATTACGATGATACAAGCAGGTTGAGCAAACGCTGTGGTCTAGCTGGCATCCAGCCTTACAAAGAATCTTAATTTGAGTTTCTCTATAGATCCATGTATTTGGAGATCTTAGTTTTTGTTACTAACATTTTCAAAGGTGAGTAAATGAATTTTAACCTCGCATGCTACCACGGTTAATGGTGTACTCTTACAGAAACCAAAAGGTAGGTCACTTATCAAACTGAAGACTCTACACGCAGTATCAGTTTGATTCTTACATCTTTGCAGAGTTGTGTAGTTAAATACTGGCTTTGAAGTGTGCAGAGCATCTTTGTGAATAGTGGATTGTTCACATTTAAGAAGCGTCAGCTGAGAGGTTCTGGTGTAAAGTGTGGTTCTATAGTAGTAACCTTAAAAAAAATCTTTTTTAGGTGGAGGCAGAAAGGCGAGCACATGAACAAGAGGAGAACAAGGCAAGTGAGGAATACATTCAACGGCTTCTAGCAGAAGAGGAGGAGGAACACAGATTGGCAGAAGAGAGACGGAGGGAGATGGAGAAACAGCTGAAGCAAGATGAAGAGTTGGCATGGCAGCTGAGTAACAGTCTGGTGAGTTAGGATCAAGGGGGACAGTAGAAAACATTGATATAGTGCAAGCAACTTAGACTTTACAGAGCAAAAGTTAACATTTTGAATAATTTAGATTTATTTTAATTGTAGTTGGAAGCTGTTGTCAGCCCCCAGTACTTTAGATCCTTGATTGACCATTAACTTTTGAAGAACCAGCGGGAGGATGAAGTACCCCAAACATTTCTACCTGTGTAATATGCACTTGAAATGTGTGCTGGATGTTTTCATTGTGAAACATTTTAAAACATTGGTTTTCTTCTCAACACTTCTTTTTCCCCATGATTTTAAAAATATTTCTTTGGAAGAAACTGATGTCTATAACCTATACTGAAAAAAAGGAACATACGATGGAAGTTTACCTTATGTTTTGGGGTTTTTCTGTTTGTTTTGTTAATTTGTTTTGGGGTTTTGGTTGGTTGGTTTTTGCTACCTGATAATAGTCCTAATGATGAAACCTGTGTACTTAGTTGAGCAAAACCTCTTGTCCCTTAATGCCAGGTGCAGGAAAGTGTACAGAACATGTAACTTTTCTTATTCCATAACTATCCATTACTTACAGTTCTAGAATTCTTTGGACAAAAGTAACTAATTCTGCAGCAGAAACAAAGTAGTTCTCTGGGTTTTTTCCAGTTTCTGTTATGTTTTGTTTTATATAATGCTATTTTTACTTGTCATCGGAGAATGACGATTCCAAAGGACATGTGCTCAGCAGTCCTTCACCAGCACACAGTCTCTCATCTGAAACATCCCCAGCTAATTTGTGTAAGATGAAGAACAAACCAAGCAACTCTGGAGACATTCAGAAGTAAGTAATTCAAGTTTTTCTTCTTCCAGCTAATTTGTAAGATGAAGAACAAACCAAGCAACTCTGGAGACATTCAGAAGTAAGTAATTCAAGTTTTCTTCTTTAATTATTGGTCTGTTTGTTGGTATAGTGTCCCTCTGCTCTATTTGCTTCTTTGGAATCCTGTAATCCAACTTCCTTGGATAATCTGGGGCAAATGTAAACTGTTGAATGTTAAAACGTCTCCTCGTAGGATAATATGGAGGAGAAGGGAAACACTTGCCCTTCTCTTATTTTCGTTTGTCAGAATGAACCTGAAGATCTTCATTAATGCAAAAGACTGACAATTCAAGAAAAAAAAGTTTAAAAAGGTATTTTTTTTTTCCCCCCCCTTTAAGGTATCTGTCTACAAAGCTGCTTCATACATTGGGATCAGCATCATTCTCTAGAACAACAGAAAGAGGCAGGAGTGACTCTGGCTCTGTGGTAACTAGAATCATTTTGTTATAAATCTCAGTGTTAGTAATTATGGGTTATTTTCTCCTTGCCTATAGGATTGCCGATAATCCTATATTCCCCTTGCACATCAGCACTGGACAGTTTATCTCGCCCTTCTTGAGCTACCTTCAATATTCATGATTCCCCAAAGTGGAAAGAGAAGAAACCGTGCTTGACAGTCCGCAGATGCACACCTATGGCTTAGTTCGATAATCACCTTGTGTAGCCTTACAAGTACCTTACCTGAATGCCTTCAGCAAGCTCTGGATTGCAACCGATGGTGTATAAAACTAACATGATGGTTCTGGAGCTCACTGGAGGAGGTTGCACTCTGATTTTCATCATTCCATATGTCTGTCTGTCTGATCTTTCCTGTTAAGTTTCAAAAGAAGATGAGCAGGCTAATACCTTGAACAGTTGATTTGAGTCATTGGTAAGAGGAGAATGCTGCAGCTGTGTTTTCCGTCCTTTAGCTAGGCTTTTGTAGGTTGTTTTAAATATTTTCATTATTATTAAACAATTATGAGAAGAATCCAAGTTAATATCCCAGAGTAGTTATGAGCAGTGCAGCTCTGAGAAGTGAGATTTGCATTTTATTCATACCCACTAGCTTTTGATAAATTTACTTTATTAGTGGTCTCTCCTTTTTCTTCAGGAGACCAATAGCAATGAAGGCAGCAGTTCTGCGTGGCAAGATGAGCAAGAGGAAATGCCAACACTGTCTCCACAGCTGACCGGTGTGATTAAAGATTCCAGTGCTAAGGATTCGTTTTTGGAATCATGCATGAACTATTTCAGTGCCTCAGCTTCAGGGGAGACCGCCACTGTCAAGCAGGAAAAAACACCAGAACCAAATGGTCTAGGAGATGTTCCAGATGCGCTTCATGGAATTGCAAAAGGGGAAGGGTCTAGAACACCTCTTCGTAGATCCAAAGGAGAAGATGATGGAATTGAGTCGTCAGACAGTGGCAGTTTAACACATGTAGAAAGCATAAACCTTGAAAACTCTGCTGAAACTTGTACCTGTATTCAGTCAGCAACAAATTCTGTGGTGTCTGACAGCAAAAGTGTAACATGTGATCTCATAAAGGTGGCTAGACACTCAGATGAAGAGAAACCAGAGAGACTGCAGAACACTAAGGAGATTCCAAAAAGAAAGTCGCTGGAGTCACCAGCTGAAGCAGTGGTTGACTTGTGCGTGCTTGGTAAAAGGAGAAGAACTTCTCCTGAAAGTTTAGAGGACCAAGGGGAGCAGATAAATGATTTTAACTTGCAAATGCAGAAAGCCTTTGAGCAGGAGTTCTATGAAAGGCGTATGCAAGAGGAGCAGGACAGGCTTCTGGCTCTGCAGCTACAAAAACAGATCAACAAGGAGGAAAGGACACTTAATCGACAAAAGGGCTCTCCAGATGAGTACCTACTTCGCACCAAACCACCTCAGTCTGTGAAAGACTCTCCTGCTAGAAAGGGAAGTTCTAAGATGGCAAAAGACTCAAAGGTACCAAAAAACCAGGCTGAAACAAATCACCGCAAGACTCGGAAAGGTTCTTGCAATGAAAACTGGCAGTCCCCTACCAGAGTCCGAATGAAATCGCCCAGCACCAAGGGAGGAAAAGTTTTGAATTGTGTGGTTAATACCAGTGACGCAAGTGATATTTGTTCACTACCTAAGAATAAGCAAAAGACGATCCTTCAGATGTTTAAAAGCTCTGTTGCAGAGTAGATCACATGGTGCAAAGAGAATTAAAACCGTGGTAATGTTTTCTCCTGTGTTAGGCAAAGCTTCCTGTAAACAGTTTTGAAGTTGTTGGTTTTGAGGGGGATTGCTTTGAGTCACAAAGTTGTGTATTCTGAGAAGTTTTAATAACGTACACCCCCAGACTTTAAAAAATTTTAATTGGTCTTTTCTTGACTACAGGTTATTTTCTAGCACTTCCATTTACATAATTTTGAATGTGAATACTGTTAGTGTTTAAAACCAAAAATAACTGATGGTCTTATCTTAGAATGAGAATTCAGAGCCTTTTATGGAAAGGATGCACATTCCACGGAGGAAACAAGCAAAAAAATGAGTCTGTATTTCCAGTTGTCTGCCAACTGCAAGATTGAAGCTTTACATGGCACAACCACTGTTCCGTTAGCCTAAATCCCAGTAACATGTTTCAGTTTACTTGTTGAATTGCATTGTTCGCGTGACAGTTAACAAGAGTATAACTGGACAGCCAGTCTTGCAGACACACTTTTTCCCTCTCCCTCTCATATACTAACTCCTTTCTTAGACAAAGAGGGAAAAACCAGGTCATTCTCCCACTGCCAAAGCCAAGGATCTTTCATAGGTGCCAATAGTGTAAGTGGTTGTGGGCTTGTATTTACCTCTGTCATAGAGGTCACTTCTGCAGATCTGACTTTCACTGTCGTTAGGAAAAATATACTTTTGGTTTTTTATTGCTAGTGTTCTGCAACTTTATTCTTGTATGAGAATATTACTTATCTTTAGTACTATTTAATTTTCATACTCAAACTGGTTTGAGCCTGATTAAAACCACATAATATTAAAAAAATAGTTAGTCCAGAAGACAGTTACGATGGAGAAAGTTAAACCAAAAGGGGGAAAAGGACCTGAAAACTGGAGTTGTTAGTCATGATGCAACTATAATTAAAGATTCACATAACTACCATGCCGGGCTGTAACTGCCCCCCCACCCCCCCCCCCCCACCCCCCACCCC